TTACAGTAAGTGTTGGCTTTTTTTACCTATTGTCTTTCTCCCCAGCAGGGGTTGAGCTCAGAGGGGGCAGGGACAGTGTCTTGTTCACACCCAGTGCTTGGCCTGGGGCAAGCAAACATTTGTTAACTACTGGAATACAACACCTCAGATAAATAAACCAGCCTCCACAGGACTCTTTGGCCTGGGTCCCCTTGTTTAGAAACCTCGGGGTGGCTTGGCCTCGGAAAGCAGTGAAAAGTAGGGCACTGGTTCATAGTGCTGTGCTTAACCCCTTGTGCCACCAGGGTGAAGCAATCCGTAGCCTCTGCAGCACAAGTTCAATCTCCGGAGGGTCAGGGAAAAACTCACATGGTGCAGCAGACCTCTCCTGTCTCGCCCGCTGCTCCCTTCAGTAGTGTATTTTGGTCAGTCTGCCTGTTCTGTTCCCCGCTCTGTCTCTGGTGAATCCTCTCACCCTCCCATGCCTCTCGTCTGTACCCCAGCTCTTGTATGCATAAATAAAACAAATCTTAAAAAAAAAAAAAAAAGTAGGGCACTGGGTGTCACGCTTTGGGAGTGGGCCAGGTTTGTCCTCTGAAAGACCCACTGGGCCTCATTCTGTCTCACTGGTGAGAAAACAAAGGGGCAGGGTCCCTGTTGTTCTGAAGGTGTGGTGGGGTGGGGTAACCTGTGGGGCATCCCAAGGACATGACAGTGAGAGGAAGAAGCCAGATAAATAAATTCCTGGGGTCACTTAGTTGTTGGGGCTGTGAAGCCCCTGTCTGTCCTTTTCCAGCTGACAGGAGGAGCCTGGCTGGCCTCATGTGACAGGACTCAGGGCCCCTCAGCTGCTGCCTGATGGGATCTGCATAGGGGATTATTGATGACAGGGAGGTGAGGCAGCTCTTTACAGTAACACATGCCTCGCTCTGGGCCTGTGGCCAGGCAGCTAATTACAGAGCCCAGCAGCTGTCCAGCCTTTCAGGCAGCGAGCAGCAGCTCCCCAGTGCCAAGAGGTGGGATGGGAAGAAGGAAAGGGGCGGGGGGCCAGCAATTTCTCTCTAAGGTGGAGGGGCAGGCTGGCCACAGTTTGTTGCAAGGGGGACAGTAGGAGGGGGAGGAAAGGTAGAGTGGGCTAGAAGGGGAGGGAGAAGGAAAGAGAAAAGGGTGGCAGGACAATGTGGCCTCCAGGTCAGACAGAAAACTGGCTGGCAAGATGTCTGGCAGGAAACCCAGATGCCAAGTTCTGAACAAGAGGCACAGAGTGGAAGGGCATGGCCACATAGACTGGGAGGGGGCTGGGGAAAGGTCTATTCCCCATTTCCACTTACCTTTCCTGTGCCAGTTAGGCTGTCCTTGCTCCCCAGGAGGAGCTGACCAGATGCAGCTTTTCCCCTGGGGGATTTGGAATTTCAATTGCATTTGTAGCTGAGTGTGGTCACTCCTTGGTTTGGGAAGTTGCCAGATGCACTTGTGTTCAGGGCTGGTCTTACTACAGACAAGTAAAAGCATTTATTTGTTCTGGGTCATGTGAGAAGAACTGAGGTGGGGTGGGGTGGGGAGTTCAAGTAACCAAGGGGATCCCCATGGGTCTTTTTTGCTTCTTCTTTTTCACTTGTGGACACCAGAGGTGGACAAGATTTGGGAAGAGGAGAGTGGGAGAGAAAAGGAGCATGTTCGCCTGCTGCTTCCTGCTTCCAGTCTTAGGTTTCTGGCCATGGAGATAAGAGTGGGGTAGAGGGTGGATGGGTGGGAGGGGGTGGATTGGTTTTTAGGTTCTGGTCAGAGAAGCAGAGATTCAGTCCTGCAAGCCCAACTTACCCTAAATAGTTAGAAAGGAGGAGACAGAATGATGTAGAAGGAATTTCTTGCCAGCAGCTGCTGGTTAAACCTCTTTGGGAAAAAGAATCCTACGTGCATGAAAACTGGATGTGCCTTTTGGGAGCGCCAGCACATTGTGGAAATAACAGAATCGGCATTGTTATTCTCGGACCTGAACATGAGCCTGGCCCCTTGCCCACGCAGGAGGCTTCGGTGTCTCCCAGATTGTCTGGGTCACTCTGTCCCTGCTCCAGCCCTCCTCCTGGGATAGAGGACGTGTCTTCTGTACTGTTCAGACCCAAGCACCCAAGTCTATCCTCTCAGGTTGGGGGACAGCTCTTGGAGGTGGGAGAAAGGCCAGCAAGCACCCTCTTTTCTTCCCTTGTCTACAGAGACACCCCTGGCCATTTGTAAACCAGTGTTTATCACGCTTTTTGGGAGAGAGCCTTCCATGATGGTGGCCTAAAAATTGTGTTTGGTTAATAACATTGGATGGTATAGTCATCCAAGAATTTAGTGGACCCTTCCCCACCTTGTTTGTCTACTCATTCAACAGAAACTCCATGGTTTCAAGGAACTCAGCATGTGGAGGGGTAACAGATACATCATAATTTTAAGGTGGGATTCCATATTTCAGCAGAAAGATGTGCAGAGTCCAGGGGAACCTCAGTGAAAGAGTGACTGGGGAGGGACTGAGGAGGGTGCAGGGCCTTGAAGGAGGGGCAGGCATGGTGGGCAGCAGAGGAGAGCAGGGCGAGAGAACAGAGCTGGAAACTGTGTGATGGCCTCTGCTCTTTCAGCTTCAGGAGCACTGGCGTGTTGATGGGGGGCAGCGGGGTGGGTGAAGTTGGCTGTATGTTTACAGGTAAGTGGCTCACAGATGGGATAAGTAGATAATACTGAATGCAGGATACAGGCGTGCAGACATGGACCTTAAGAAAGAGACATAGCTGGGAAGCGGTTTGAAGGCATGCTGTTTGGGGCGAGAGGTCAATCTGGAACGCAAGGAACAAGGTTCGAATCAAATGTGTGAATTTGGGCAAATCTCTTAATGTGCTGAGACTTGTTTTCATCTCTAAATGGGTGTGTGTGTGTGTGTGTGTGTGTGTGTGTGATATTCCTGCTCTCCCTATAGGATTCTTGGGAAACTCTTGAGAGATGGTAAAATGGGGAAAGTATGTCTTTCTAACCTTCACACATGCTATGAAGGCTATTTACATGTTCGTAAGCTCCAACTACTGGTTCAGGCCCTGCAGTCAACAAAGGAGCCTCGTGTCCTCTCTACCTGGGACCTGCTCTGGGGGACCAAGGGGTATTGGAGGGGGCTGGGGACAAGCTGTGCACTGGGAGGCAGGAATGGGATCCTGGCTGTACTATCAGCTCCTGGTCCAGCCCCCACTAGCTCTCTGGGGATTGGGGCTGCTGGCCAGGAAGTGGGGGAAGTCCAGGGTGAGGCTGGCCCTGGGACCTCGGGGGCTTCTTCATCTGCCAGGTTCACCCTTCAGTCAGCAAGGGGCTTCAGGGCTGACTGCCGTGCCCTGCGGGCCTTGCTGGCAGGATGTGGGCCTAGTTTTCTGTTTTGGTTTCGGTTTGTGCTATTGATATAGCCCGCTTAACACCCAGGGAAGGGGAAGTGCCTGTAGGTGGGGTTGAACTCAGGGTCAAGGTGGAGCTGGGGGTGGGTGGTGGGAGTGTCAGATGCCTCATTAAAGCCCTTTCCTCGAGGTGAGAGGTAGGTGCCAGGATGACCCCTGCCCTCAGTCAGGTAGGCTGGGAGCAGTGGGAGGATAGAAGTGGGGCAGGCTTGCAGGGGGGCAGGCTCCATTTGGGGAGGTGCTGGTCGGGACAGAGGCGGCACTGAGCACAGCAGCCAACTCATTGCACTTCATGCCCTCTGATCTTCACTTTTCTGAGGGCAGAGCCCCTTCCCTCCCCGCCTCCCAGACCCAGGGGGTGCACATCCTCCCCACCCACAAGCACTTGTGCACACAATGAATTTCAGATCCCTAGACCCTGCCCTTTCACTTCTTGACTTCCTGCTGCCTCACAGTTTTCAGCTTACTACTGAGCAAAGGGACTTTATCCTGCTCCAGATCCTGTGGGTGGGGGAGGGGGCAGGTGGATGTGGGCATCAGCAGAGGGTGGTGCCTCTGTGGCCCACATGGTTGTGCTCCAACATCGGTTGTGGGGGTGGGGGGTGCCAGCTCCTACCTCCGCTCACAGGCTGCCCTGGGCTTCCTCCATGGGGCCATGCCGGCGCAGAGCACTGTCCTTGGACTTGTGCGTATGGTGCTGTATCCACAGGGTTTTCAGGAAAGCTTCAGCCTCTTCATATCAAAACAAAAAATGTTGGAATCTCCATCAAATGGTCAAGTCTTAGGGACACTCTTAAAAATGTATGCAACAGCAAAGGGCATTATAAAGACAGATTTATATCAGTTTGTGGTCAGTTATGGGTGTTAACAGGAAGGGCTTAGCCACTATGAACGATAAAGTAATAAAATGAAGTGAATGTTAGGGTGGTTGAACTGTGGGTAATGCTTAACCCATATTTTGTTGGCTTGCTTGTTTTTCCTTGTGTAGTTGTGCTTGACTCCCCAAATGCTAAGACAAATGCCTTACATTGTCTGCCTTCCATGAGGTTCTTGATGCCCTTGAGAACAGATGTACCCTCTGCTGGGTGAAGGTGAAAGTGTAATTTGAAGCTAAATGAGAATGGAGCTGAATTCTCTAATTATATCCCCTCTCAGGTTTACAAGTATTCACACAGTCACTCATGCTGCGGGAAGCCCAAAGCTCTAGCCCCACTCGTGAACTACCCGGGAGCCTTCCCAGCCTCTCAGAGCTGGATTAAGCAGACCTGAGCCCACGGAATGGCAGAGAGGAGGCGGCAGGTTCTGGGAGAGGCCCCCAGTGGCCAGAGCAGGCCGCGTGTCTGGTGCTGAGCCCTGAGCCTGGGCCCCTGTCGTGTTTGCTTGAGTCTGCCTCTCCAGCTGGCTGGGTGTCTCGGAGCCGGGGGCAGTTTAGCTAATGAACACCTCCTCTTTTATTTTTAGGGACACAAGGAAGCCGCCCTCTCACTCATCGAGGATCAGCTGAGCCCTGGGGCTGATCCTTGCCCACACTGCTGAGAATGGCACGGAGGCCCAGCCAGGCAGCAGGACAAAGGGGAACCAGGGACACTCGGAGACCGTGATCCTGATGTACTTCCTGAGCCCCGCACTTAAGGGTGTGATAAGTGAGTATGCCTTGGGCACCCTGGGGATCGCTGACCCTTCCTGCGAGTTCCAGCTCGGAGCCTGCTTCCCATCCCAGAGCCTGTCACAGGGTGACAATGAGAATGGGAAGGGAGTGTCCGGCAGTGCCAGGCCATGTCACCTGTGCGAGCCACCTGACAGCCACATTGTCTCTAAAAACCTGGCCATACCTCGATCCACTCGAGTGATGTGAGACCCCCAGGTGATGGCGATGTCCCAAATTCTCTCTAGCTGACAGCCAGTGGATGCTTTAGGCTTTGGGCTTTACGTCTGTGCGATGGGTACAGTACCTCATCTGGATTCCAGCCTCAGTCCAGACAGCTCAGGTGGCCTTGGGCAGAGCATCCAGAGCACTGAGTGGTGAGGGATTTGAGGTGACCGTCATAAAGGTGACTACCAGGTGGGCAGGAGAAGCAAGTCTTTTGCTGCTTTTTACCACATTTCAGCGGTGCCTCCTCAGTGTAGACGAGAGAGCCGTGACTGTGGAGTCCCCCATCCTCACATGGTCTTTTTTTCTAGCCTTAGCCTCTGATTTTTCCTTGATGATACTTTGAAAAATGACAATTGGCTGCTTTCCCAAGCCCCAGAGGCCCGTCTGGTCTGGAGGCTGCTCTGTCTGCACAGGACAAACAGTCCAGTGGTAGAATCAGGGACCTGCAGGCCTAGAGCTCCTCTAGAAGGCGGGACAGGGAAAGCTGGTGTTTCTGAGGTCCTGACCAGACAAGCTTTCAAGAATTGCTGGGTTGGTCCACGGTGAAACCAGGGAACCAGGTATTCTCAGCTTTAGGGAGATCTTGATTCTATGGCTAATTGAAAGCTTAAAACTCAGGGTTAGAATCTATTTTTCTTCCAGCCTGGGCAAAATCAGTTGGAGGATCTTTCAGGACGTATGTTCTTGAGTTGATTTGTATCTGGGGTGATGTAAGCAAGCCTGGAGTGTGGGAGTGGGGTGGGAGTGGAGAGATCGCTCCACCACTGAGGGAAGGTGGTGATTCAAACAAGAGAACTCCTCCCCACATAACGCAGCCTTCCCCAGAGTAATCTGCATCACCAGCCTTGAAACTTGTGCCCTCTGTCCAGTGACCCCACTTCTAGAATTATTCATTAAGAAATCTTCCATTAGGAAACAGTCCCAAAGAAGAAAGGGACTGAATTACTTTATTACAGGCATAAAAAAGATGTTTCTTTTGGTATTATTGGAATAGTGGAAATGAGAAACAGTTTTTCTCCTTCTGTTGAACATCTGGGTTAAGTAAATTATAGTTTTCTACCTGGTGGAATATTAGGCAGCCATTATAATAATAGGTGATATCACAAGTTAGAAAAATGATTGTTATAATTAGTAAAACTGTCAGTTTGCAGAGTAAGTACGTTATAATAATTTGTAAAATAAATACATGAGAAAATATTGCAAGGGGAATGGTAATGGCATTATGAATGCCTTATCTTCATAGGGTGCAGGGATTTTTTTTAATTAAATTTAATCTGAATGAATACACAACACACCATTGATAGTGACTTTCTCTAAGATGTAGCATATTTGATGGAAGACTTTTGTGTTCTAAGTCATTTTAGGGGTATTGTTTAAATTTCACTTGTGAGCACATGTTGCTTTTATTATCAGAAAAAACCCATGAAAATATTTTTAAGTGTTAGAATTAAAAATTTTTAAAGGTTCTATTTTTCCAAGAAAGGAGGAGAAAGGCTGAGCAGTTAGTTAACTGTTTATACCTGTCCTCATCAGTGTTTAAGCAACATTCTCAACAGTGCCTGCACCTGTTTAGGCTCATGCATTCATTCATTCCACAAGTATTAATGGGTCTTATTGTCAGGCACTGTTCCAGGCACTATTTAACCCACAGTGAACAAGACAGAGGTCCTCCCTGATGGAGGTTTCATTTTAATTGGGAGAGGCAGGCAATGAACAAGGAACAAAACATCAGAAAGTGAAGGTGCTATGAAGATAATAAAATGGGATGCCGTGTGTGAGGGAAAGGCTATTTTGGATTGGATCTCGGGGAAGTTCTCTGAGGGATGAGCTGAGACCTGATGATAATAGAGAAGCAGCTAGATGAGATCTGGAAATAGCCTTCCAGGCAATGCCCAGGAGGCCGAGCCCACAGAACCTACCTGCACAGTGTCCTTTGCTGCTGGAGCCCCAGTGAACCTACGTGCAGGGCTGACTCTTTCCCAAGCCCACTTGCCCCACTGCACCTGCTAGCTGGGATTTTCTTAGCCTCTGAGGCCTCCCTCTGAAATCCTCCCCACCTGCCACCTTGTGTGGGATGGTTGCTCCTAATACTGGATACTTCTCCAGGCATTGAGCCTCTCTGGGCCGCTTGCTCGCTGGGCACTACTCTTGGCTGGCATTTCCATAGCAGGGATTCAGAGTCCCAGCAGCACTGGCTGGCTGGCAGTCAGGGAGGTTCTGGGTAATGAGTGTTCTGGTGAGAGGTCTTTGAATGGCACATGCCTTGAGACCCAGTGCAGTGGCTGTTGAATGGCTGACCACAGAGGACCTTCATGTGGATCCTGCCAGAATGTGGTCTCAGAACAGAAGGTGGTCTCCCGGAAGAGGCTGAGAGACTTCAGTAGCTCTGACACCTGGCTCTGAGCCTCACTGAGGATCCATCAAGAAGCTCACGTGCTTCTCACTTCCAGTTATCTCTTCATATAGCACTCCAGCCTTCCAGAAGCAGAAACCCAGAAAATGGCAGTGCCACAGAGGGTGTTCAAGGGGTAACAACTCAGTGTGCTAATTGGGAGTGAAGTCTCTAGAGCCAGACTTGCTGGGTTGGAACCCCCGCTCTGTCTTTCAGAGCTATAAGTACTAATCTCATTATTTCACTTCTCTCTGCCTCCATTTCCTCATCTGTAAAATAGGCTTGAGGATGATCATAGTTAACATATAGACAGTGCTGCTGACAACAGTGCCTGCTTATTACTATTGTGACTTGGGAAGTGGAGGGAGCACCCCATCAACTGATCCCAGGGCGTTTTCCTGGGGCCTGCCCACCGCAAGAGACTGTGGAAGAGGCAACCAGTGACCACAGGGGTTTCCCTCACTTGCTTCCCTTCTGGCCCTGAAGCAAGCCCAACTTTTCTTCCCCCACTAACTTGATAACCACAGGGGAAGCTCTGGGCCATGTCAGCCTTGCACGTTTACTCAGATGTAAGAGCAGCTGCCTACTCTTCGTTGCTTCCACTCACCTCCAGCACAGAGCCTGTCAGGGGACAGAACGCAGCATCTCTCAACCTGCCCCTCCATGGTCTTGCCCTTGGGACCTCCTAGAAGGGCTTTGCATCTCCCAAGCATAGAATGTAGTGATTTTTGGGCCTGGGACTGGGGAATGAATTTGGGAAGTAAGTGTAGTGAAAGAGGAAGCCGTGCTCAGCTTAACTGCATGGTCAGGAACTCCTAATTTTCAAATAAGGTGCTCCTCTAGACAAAAATTCCCAGAGTTAGTGTGTGATGATGCCTTAGTTTCCTGGGAGGAGATCACAGCTTTTGGCAAAACCAAAAAATGATCACTCTGGTTTTGCCTCTTGTCTGTCTTAAACCTTTAATGGTGTTCCCTTTACCCCTCTTCTCTGCTCTGGTCACCCTATGGACTAGCCTGGTAGGTGAACTACTCCCAGAGGGTGGGCTCTGAAAGCCAGCCCCTCCCCTCCCAATCACCTGTCCCTTTGGAAGGGCAGTGCCCTCCCCTGGCAAGTCAACTTGAGTTCTGGCCCTTTGCGGAAACTCCATGTACCTAGGGCTTTCATCAACATTGTGTGAGGGCTCTTGTACTGGAGTATTGTTCCCCGAAATCCTGCTTGTGAAACCACTCGCTGCTCTCCAAACTTCTGCTTCCAGTCTTGCCCACGCCCTCCTAGATTTACTCCACCCTGGATTTCTTTCCTGGGCGGTCCAGTCTTTTGTCATGGTCCTCAGGATGGTTATGTCCTGTCCCCAGGACAAAGAGCCCACGTCCAACGAACTGTGAGCTGCTGGGTCTTCTGATGCAGGCTTTCCTGTGGCGCTGACCCCAGGGCTGAGCGAGGAGGTACTGGAAGGGTCTGGGGCAAAAGGGTCCGGGGAGGGCTCCAGGGCAAAGACCTAGGGAATGGGGACTGTCCTGCTCAGTCGAGGGTGGGGAAGCCTGGCCCAGCTCAAAGGTTAAGAGGGGTTCCTGTGGGTTTGGGGAGTGGAGTTCTGAAAATCCACCCAAGTCTAATCTCAGCATCTTCCCACACCAGTGTGAGCTGCTTAGCTAAGAACACCGTTCTTTCTCTTGTCTTTTCCCGGTCCTGGGCCCCAGCACCTGTGAGGCTGTGTCAGGAAGCTGGATTTTTTATTCCACCCTTCTATTCAAGCCTGGCCCTCAGAGCACTGGGCTGAGACACCCCCTTCATCAAGCTCCCCTTAGCTGTATGGAAGCTGGAGTTCACCTTGTAGTTCCTCAGCAGAATTTTTGTTCTCCTCTGGGCTGTAGGTGAGATTATTGTTATTTCAGGGTTTCTTGGCTGCGGGTTGGTGCTGGGGTGGAGAACTGACCTGTTTGGCAAGGAAGACTCCCCGAGCTTCCCAGGATGGGAGGATGACCCTGCCTCAGGTTGGAGGTGGCACTCAATACCGGAGGAGCCTGGCTCTGTGCCAGAGATAATAGCCCGGCGGTTCTTGCACATTCGTTGTATATTTACATGTTACATTTTAGTGTTTATCTGCTAGCTCATCCGTTCACAAAATAACCCTCTGACATAGTTATTGTTTATTATTTTCACTTTATCTATAAGGAAACTGAGGCACAGAGAGGTCAGGTAACATGCCCTCAGGTGGGGGTGATGAGCTAGGATGCAAACCTGGCTGCTAGGAGTTAGTGCCTCCATCTAAACCGGGGGTCATGGTTTGTTGTTTGGGATGGCTCAGGAAGGAAAACTGCATTAATTTTACATGACTTCAGGCTTCTCGGGTTCATTTGTTTGGCAAATTATTTAGGATTTATTTAGTACTGTCTATTTTCAAGGTACAAAGATAATGAATGAATGAATATCCGTTCAACAAATATTTTTAAGATAAAATTTTATTTTTATAAAAATTATACATACTTGGGCCTCCCCGGTGGCGCAGCGGTTGAGCGCTGGGTTGCAAAGCTGCCCGCGGCCTCTGCGGCGCCGCCGGTTTGATACCCGGCTGCTCCCCGGCCACCAGAGGAGGGTCCCGCATGGCGCGCAGACCTCTCCTGCCGCCCGCTGCTCCCCTCAGCAGTGTACTTCAGTCCTTCTGCCTGCTCTGCTCCCCGCTCTGGCTCTCACCCTCCCGCGCTTCTGACTGTACCCAGTGCATGTATAAACAAAAACAAACAAATAAATAAAAAAAAACCAAAAACATGCCTCTATTAAAAAAAAAAAAGTTTAAAAAAAAATTATACATACTTGCTAGAAAAAAAATCTAGACCGCACAGAAAAGCATAAAGAAGGAAATAAAAGTCACAGATGATGTCTCCATCCAGAGAGGACTGTGGCTACATTTTTTTTGTATATTTACTTTATGCATGTCTTTGCAAAAACCAAATCATTAATATTCAGTTTTGAATATTAATTTTTTTATCTTAACACTGTTCTAAACAAGCATTCATCTAGTGGTGAGTAAGGCTGGCCTTTGATTGACAAAGCAGTGTGTTGTCGTCACAGAAGTGACCTGGGTGCCAAGGTGGCATCTATGAGCTGGAGGTGTGTAAGAAAGTCTTCACAGAGGAGGAACTGGATCTTGGAGCATCATTAGTTCAAGGCCCCTGCTGTAGGCCTCAGGTCTATAGTTTGCCCAGGTAGCAAAACTCTGAGGACAGGCTCTGAGGCAGAGGTGGCTCACCAAGGGTGCCACCAGCCATCCCTAGGCTAGGGGTTTGAGTCTCACTCTGTAGGTGTTAAAAATCCACTAATGAGCATTAAGTAGGATTTCACTAAAAAGTAATTTGGGATTGTTTGCTTTTTCTACCATTTTTTTTTAATTTTTAAAAAAGATTTTTTATTTATGCATACAGGCCAGAGGTGTGGGGGGTGAGAGGAGTCACCAGAAACAGAGGGGAACAGAACAGGCAGATTGACCCAAATACACTGCTGAGGGGAGCATTAGAGGTCTGCTGGACCATGTGGGTAGCTCCCTGGCCGGGGATTGAACTCGTGCTGCAGTGGCCATGGCCAGCTTCTTAGGTTGTGTCTTAACCCCTGTGCCACCAGGGAGGCCCCTACCATTCTTTTGTAGCCTATGAATGTGGGAATTCACTCATCAATTGGAAAGGAACAAGGCAAGACAGGATGACTGGAGTCATCCTAGAGAGATGGTGAAATCTGAAGCTAGAGCAGCAGCAGTGAGAAAGAGGATGAGAAGGAGGAAATGGACTTTCAATATATTTAAGAGTAGAAAGGACAGAAGTTAATGGCATGTTGGTTTTGCCCTGTGACTTGACTTGGCTAGTAAGATGGTAGTGGGTCCCTTACCCAGTCTTGGAAAGTTCCTGCACAACTGGGCTGGCATGCTTCTGTGCCTCCGCCCTTGCCAAGAAAAGAATGTGTCCCAGTTAGTCCACTGGGCCTGGGAGCAGAATGAGAGGCCAGTGGCACAGAGCTAAGCGGAGGACGGAGACCCCACATGACATAGTCTCATGATCAAGCACAGCCCCTACAGACACATGAGTTGTAATAACAAATGGGAGTTGATTTCAGCTTTCTGAGTTTGGGATGATTTGTTATATAGCAATCACTAATTAATTAAGAAAATGTCTTTGTTCTGGTAATGAGTGCCTATGGGGTGCCAGGCCCCGTTCTAGGCTCTGGGAATGCAGTGTTGAACCAGACAAGGTCCTCACTCTGGGGAGCTCATGTCAGGGTAGGGATGCGGCAGAGAGAGCTTGAATGACACTGGGGCCTCTGACTTCTCTCTGTTTGCATATTGTTACCACAAATCAGCATGGGGGGCATAGGAGAAAAACAAATATTAGGGGAAAGAATGAGTTTGATTTAGGAAAAGAGTTTGAGGAGCCATTAGGTCATTTAAGTGGAGATTTTCAGAAAGGAGTGGAATACATAGGTGTAGAACACAGGAAAAAGGTCTGGCTGGGGACTGAAAGTTACCAACATAATAAAACAGAAAATCATTTGTACCCAGGAGAGACAGAGTAAGTGCTGTGAATATTCAGAAGAGATAGCGAGGACGTATGGTGGGAGGATGAGAAAGATTTTGTTCTGAACCTGTAAGCTGGGTTTGAACTTGTGGAGGTGGTGGGGAAGAAGCTCAAGAAACAGAACAGAGAGGAGCTACAAAGGCAAGGAGATCTGGACTGTGAGAATAAGGCTGAAAAAATGAGTGAGATCACAGCATGAACTTGAATGCCAGGCCAAGGATGCTGTAGTGTTTCATAAGGAATTGGGGAGCCATTGACTGTTTTTGAGTAGGGGGAGTAATATTAAGCTCACATGCCTAGGAGATGGGATATGTTTTATTTTGTAAATTGAACTTTTTTTAATTTTCTTATATCATTTGTCATTTTTGTACAATATTTAATTACTCCCCTCAGGTGCAATCCCTATAAATCCTCCACCACCATATCACCCATGAGCCATCACCTTAGTTCCTTGTGCTCTTCCTGCCCCTGTTTTGACCCTTTTCCCTCCCCCTCCCCTGCTGTAGGCCTCAGATCTATAATTTGCCTGCAAGTTTTGTCTTTTTTTTCAGACCCTTTGTTCAGTTTCCTTATATTCCTCCTATAAGTGAAACTATCGATAGTTTTCTTTTTTCTTTCTGACTTGTTTCACTGAGCATAATCCCTTCCAGCTCATCCATGTTGCTACAAATGCATGAATTTATCTTTTGTGACTCCTCTACAGTGGAATAAGTAGAAATCTTGAATTAGAAGTAGAAATCAGGAGATATGGATTCTAGTGTCAATTCTTCCACTCACCTGCCCTAGGATATGAGGCACATGACTTCCCCTCTCTGAACCCTACCTGTCTTATAAAAATGGGAGTAAAAATGACCTGTCCCTTACATTGTGAGGACCAATGAAAAAGTGTGAATGGAATGGAGAGTGCTTGGAAGACCACAGTGCAATGCACAAAGGTGTGTATTATTGTGCCTAGGCCTGCTTTAGCTGGAAGATGAGTCTGGGTTTCCTAGGCAGGTGAACAGACTGAAGATGCCATCTTGTTAACCTCTGTGCCCTCTGCCACCGTGGAGAGGGGATTGACAGAGATATCAAGCCTGCAGAATTGGTTTCATGTTCCCATGCCCTACCTTTGCAGTCTTTTTTTTTTTTAATTTTCTTAAAAAGATTTATTTATTCATGCATACAAGAACCGGTACAGGCCAGATGTGTGAGAGGGTGAGAGGATTCACCAGAGACAGAGTGGGGAACAGAACAGGCAGACTGACTGAAATACACTGCTGAGGGGAGCAGTGGGCGCGACAGGAGAGGTCTGCCGAGCCCATGTGGGATTCTCACCGGCTGGTACTGGCCGCCAGGATGGAAGGAACCAATGCTGCAGAGCACTAGGCTCAACTGCCTGCGCCACCAGGAGAGGCCCCCACCTTTGCATTCTTTATGCAACCCCTGGACTCTCCCAGCCTACCTTCCGAATAGACAGGGGAGCTGGGTGCCATGGCTGCAGAATGGAGGGCTGGAAAAAAGTCATGCCTTCAAGGAGCACTCAGGCCAGTTGGATCGAGAGGGAATGCGTCTCTCAATAGTGATTAGGGTGGCCCTGGAGACAGGATCAGAGGAGTGGCTCAGACCATCCCGGGGTGGAGGGCAAGGAGAAAGTGTAGAGCCTACATACCAGGTCAGTATTCTGTGCCTTGGAGACTGGTGGGCTTTAGAAGAGAGAAGAGGAAAAGAATATGAAGCAGCGGGAGGACTCTGCCCTCTGTCAGCCACTGGTTTCCTCTCAATATTGAAACTAAACACCAAATCCCCACTTAATGGATCTGTTAAAGACAAATGTGACCACAAGGAGTTACCACTTCATACCCATTAGGGTGACCATCATCAAAATAACACAAAATAGCAAGTGCTGGCAAGGATGCCCTTGGTGTGTTGCTGATGGGAAAGTAAAATGGGATAAGTTTTTTTTTTTTTTAAGATTTATTTATTTATTTGTTTATTTATTTATACAAGCACTGGGTACAGTCAGAAGCGCGGGAGGGTGAGAGAATTCACCAGAGCCAGAGCGGGGAGCAGAGCAGGCAGAAGGACCGAAGTACACTGCTGAGGGGAGCAGCGGGCGGCAGGAGAGGTCTGCGCGCCATGTGGGACCCTCCTCTGGTGGCCGGGGAGCAACCGGGGATCGAACCGGCGCTGCAGAGGCTGCAGGCAGCTTCGCAACCCAGCGCTCAACAGCTGCGCCACCGGGGACGCCCAAAATGGGATAAGTTTTGAAGTAAAAAACACTGTCGAGAACAAGGCTGTTCCACAAGAAATAAAAATAGAATTACCATACGATCCAGTAATTCCACTTTTGAGAATATGCCTCAAAGATTTGAAAGCAGGGACTTGAATACATATTTGTACACCTGTGTTCATAGCAACATTATTCACAATAGTTAAAAAGTGGAAGCGACCCATGAATGGATAAATGGATAAACAAAATGCTATATACCTAGGGAGATAGATTGCAATGGAATATTATTCAGCTTTAAAGAGTGAAGGAAGTTCTGACACATGCTACACTGTGGATGAACCTTCAGGACATTTGCAAAGTGAAGTAAGGCAGTCACAAAAGGACAAATGTTTGGTTCCACTTAAACAAGTTACCTGGAGTAGTCAGAGACACAGAGACAGAAAGTAGAAGGGGTTGGTTGCCACTGGCTGGTGAGGGGACGAGGAGGGAGCATTTAATGCGTCTGGTGTCTTGGTGTGGGCAGATGAGACAGTTCTAGCTGGATGATTGTGATGGTTGCACAACAATATGAATGTATTAAATACTACTGAACAGCATTTTTAAATGGTTGAAGTGGTGAATTTTATGATACGTTGCTTAGAAAGACCTCAGAAATACGAGTGATGGGGAGCTGCTGGAGAAGGATGGGTCTGGTGAGAACTCAGCTAGGGGTCTAGCTAGTGGGGGTGACTGGCTGGTGGATGGGAACAGCCAACTCTTTCATTAACTGCAGACAATCCAGAAAAGTTATTGCAGGGAGTGTAGGAAACCCCTCCTTCCAGCGAGCATTTGGGCAGAGCTGCTCAGAGAAAGCCAACGGGGCTTTTTTCTTTCTTTCACTTCTCATGTCACCTCCCTCAGGTAAGGCATAAGGAATAAAGTAGCTAGCATGGAATAAGGAGGACATTATGGTGGGCAACAAAGAGAAAGGGAGAGGTAGATTTGAGCCATCATCCTTCAGTCTGGGCACATCAGAGACTTGGGCTGAGCATTGGGAAGCAGCTGGGGGCCTCCCCCCACCAGCCCTCACCTGTTTCTCTGTGTCCCCACAGCCAGCCCCTGCCAGCACCATGGCTTCCGCCGAGCCCCTGACTGCGCTGTCCCGCTGGTACCTGTACGCCATCCACGGCTACTTCTGCGAGGTGATGTTCACCGCGGCCTGGGAGTTCGTGGTGAACTTTAACTGGAAGTTCCCGGGGGTGACAAGTGTGTGGGCGCTGTTCATCTACGGCACCTCCATCCTCATCGTGGAGCGCATGTACCTGCGCCTGCGGGGCCGCTGCCCGCTGCTGGTGCGCTGCCTCATCTACACGCTCTGGACCTACCTGTGGGAGTTCACCACCGGCTTCATCCTGCGCCAGTTCAACGCCTGCCCCTGGGACTACTCCCAGTTCGACTTCGACTTCATGGGGCTCATCACCCTGGAGTATGCTGTGCCCTGGTTCTGCGGGGCACTCATCATGGAGCAATTCATCATCCGCAACACCCTTCGCCTCCGCTTTGACAAGGACGCTGAGCCAGAGGAGCCAGGTGGCCCGCTGGCCCTGGCTAACGGCCATGTCAAGACTGACTGACAGGGGACTGGGGGGTGCTGGTGGGTGGGGCCCAGGGTTCTCTCATGGACCCTGCGGACAAAGGTTCCAAGCTGGTGGAATTCCCCCTTCTGTACAGCACAAAACCTGCCCCAGCCAGGCCTCAGCCCAGCAGGGCACACACAGCCCCCTCTTCCTCCACAATGGGTGCGTATGGGGGTGTGGTCAGGTTTGGGGGCATGGGGTGTGAGGCAGCAGAGGGACTTGGGGAAGGGTCCATGGATCTCTGCCCAGCTCAGAGGCTGGTGGCGCCAGGCCAGCGGCTAAGCAGCAACTGGACTACTGGGTGACTTTGGAAGCAGCAGGCTCTGTCCTGGCCAAGAGACTCTGAGAATGGGGCAGAAGGTGGGAGGCAAGTCCTTGAGGAGGTTTTGAGCTGCTGCTGCGGCCGCCTCCTTCCCTCTTACCTGGTTTATTTGGGCTTTGGCTGGCTCCATTAGGCAATATTCAGGTGCTTGCTTGCAACCAATACCTCCCCAGGGGCCTGCTGAGCAGCAGCCTAAGGAGAGACTGGGCATTGGGGGAAGCTGCTTGGCTGCAGTGTGGTCTGCAAGGGCTGGATGCCTTCCCTTGGCTCCTCTCCCCTCCCCCAGGGCCCCTCGCTGCTCCCTTGGCCTTCTGGGGGCCCCCCTGGTGCTGGATTCCCACCAACCTTGGGCTTTTGGAGGTTTTCAATTTCTATGTGTTCAGTGGTGTTCCCCTTTTCTCTTTTATTTTCAAGGCCTTTACCACTAGCAGCCATGTCAATCACCCCACTGGCCCTCATCCCCAACTCCCTAGCCAGCATAGCAGTTGCCAGAGATAGAACCCCGAGACAGCCCCGCCTCCCCCTGCAGCTTTCCTGCCACTGTGCTGGCCTGATGCCTGGGAAGGTCTGCTGTTACACCTCCCACCCCACCTAGTGGGCTGTGGCAGTGCCCCTGGTGCTCCTCTCCCCACAGTGGTCCTGCGGAAAATGAATGATACCCCCCAGCACAGTCAGGCTGAGGCAGACCCACAAATTCACAATGGAAACCTAGAGACAAGTCATTCCTGAGGGGTGTGGGTGGGGATGAAGGCACCTGCCTAGTTTATTTTCAAGCCAATCAGGGGCAATCTGGCTTTTTCGGGGATGGAGGAGCAATATCTAGTGTTGGGGAACCATGGAGAATGAGTGAGGAGAAAAAGACGAGGGCTGTCAGCTTTGGAGCATCCTTAGTGGGAAGAGGTCAGTTCTGGTTCTGCCATCACCCCAGCCTCGCAGCAAAACCTCCTCAGGGTTGCCCCTCCCCCATCCTTCCCAGCAAGACTGACTCTTTGAACTTGCACCTTCAACAGTATTAACCCTGCCATGCTCATGGGCACTGTCATCTTGGTTGCTCCCTTTCCCCTGTGATAGGTCCTTCGCTGGCAGTAGACAGGTGAAATCCTCACTCCAGCCCGCTCCTGACTCTGCCCCTCACTCCCTAAAAGGAGGAGTCCATCGGAATGCCGCCCATCCCCTTCCTGACCACGCTAGGACTCTTAGGTAGCAATTAGCCATTCCCTTTTCATAGATCATTCAAAGGTGATGATACCACTTGGGGAGAGAACCTCCTCTTTCTTGCTGTGCTGCTCCATCTAGACCGTGCAGACAGCACCAGGCAGGGCGCAGACTAAAGTGGGTGGGCTGGGGGGTGGGCAGGAATGGTGTCCTGGCAGGGTTGTTTCCTGCAGTTGACCTTTTCCAGGACAGGATGAAGGGCGTTCCCACCTGTGTCCTGAGCAGGCTTCTCCAAATCCAGGGACAAATGACATTCAGCAGAGGCCAGGCCAACCATTGATTTCATTGTGGCCCTAATTCTAGGGGTTTGGGGCTTCCAAATATTCAAGCTTCCAGAGTGGGTAGATAGCTTTCCATCTACCGGTGGAAGAGTCCAGTGGGAGAATATTGTCTGGCTTCCCTCTTCTCTCTAGGTAATTGTTCCTTGTTTCCTCCAGTCCATGTTCTCTCAGCCTCCTGGACAACAGTACTTCTCCAGGCTCCCCAAACGGGCCCTAGCTCGCACCACCCACTTTTGCTGTTCCCTCCCGTGATTGAATCGGGTGGTCAGCTTGTTGCAGTCTCCAGCAGGAGACCCCCATAATTCTCAGTCAGAGCCTGCCCTGCCAGTGTTGGCCTGATGCCTGGGAGGTTGCCCCATGGGTGTGCCTTGGCATTCTATTTTCTCTGGACCAATAAACTCCCACGTCTAGGCGGTCCCAGAGTAAACTTGCGTACCTGGCAAAGTACAGAATATTTGGGTTTCTGCTTTATCCAGGTACCTCAGGGCTCCTACTGCCCCTCATAGGCACAGAGCCCCAGCAAGGAGAGGCGATGACCCACTGTAGGCTCAGCTTTCTAGGGGTGGCCCAAACTTCAACCCTGCTTTTGGGGGTATCTTTAGGGCTCCTAACTCTTAGTGTCTAGGCACTCAAAGTTTGGAGGAAACCCAGCCCTGCCAAGCCAGGGGAGTGCTGCAGGGAGAGTCTGCATCCTATTTATGATCCTCTGGTCACGGGTGGGCCTTTCTCCACTGGATATGGTCTCATTTCTGAGTTATAGATCGCCATGTGCTGCCCTGCATGGTTGAACTGCTTCTGACGTCTGCTAGTCATCCCTTGTGCCCTGTCCCCTCTGATGCCAGTGAGTCATAATGGCCTATGCTTATTTACAGCAATAATACCTAGGGAGTACCCCTAAAGTCCTTTTGTCTCGGTCCCTCACTCTGCATGGGTGTCCTGGGGAGGCAGCACTGAGCGAGTTAGTTCCTAAGAACCTGTATTTATGAAGCTCTGGGCTCTGCAGACATCAGAGCAGGGGATGCAGAAAGGAGAGCAACCTGGCTCTGACTACAGCAGGGAGGGTACCCTTCACCCCCAGGCTACCCCAGACCTGGAGGAGCTGCAGGTCCCAGCTCTGTAAAAGGGCCTTTCAAGTGGGAGGGACTGTCTCCCAATGCGGCAGCTTTTCAGAAGGACCCGCGACTGGTTTGTGCGCCCATTGCCTGCTTTGTCTCTGTTTGATCTCTTTGTCTCTTCCTTTTCACATCTGTGCACATAAAATATATTGGTGTTTGTGTTCTGGGACTACTGGCTCTGACCCATCTTTGTTTCTCCTACTTTGGAGCTCCTTTCTCAGGGGCTGCTGGAGGCCAGGGTCCTCACACCCATCCTGAACCAAGAGGGCTGCTGGGTGGGGTGAGGGTGGGGGAGGGCATCATGTCTGCACGGCAGGTGGCACCTCCCAGTCAGCCCTTTTACTGCCTCTGTTCTGACTCTCTGGAACCTGCATTCTCTACCGACCATCCCCCACCAGTTGCATAATCTGGTCCCAGCCTTTGATCCTGGGCAGCAAGGTCCAAAGCTCCCATCTGGGGAGGCCTGGGCTGCATCCAGGCTGGCTACAGGTTAACAGCATCTGACACTAAGATGGGCACCTTTCAAACATGCTAGCAATGACCTGGGGTATCTCATGGAGTAAGAGGGTCTGAGGGAGGAGGTGGTGGGTACCCCAAAGAGCTGGAAAGATAGAGGCCCTTTCTTATTATTATGTAGAAAGTCATGCTTTGAAGAGAAGTCTATTTGGAAGGAGGAGTCTCATTGCTGTATAGCTCTATCTGGTGTCCCCTGTCCTCCCATTACCCCCACCATTCTCTAGCCCACTTTCTTCCAAGAAGAAAACGGAGGGATCCTAAGTTGCTCTATCAGCTCAACAAAACCCAAATAACCTACCCTTCTGCGAGAGCCAGGCTATAGAACACCTGCTGTGTTCTGGATGGAGTAGACAGTGCACCCTCTAAATCATTGGGATGGCCTCTGCATCCATCATTCACTTGAAAGTATGTATTTGACATAAAGCAATTCTCCTTATAAAAATGAGCTAGCATAAAGCCCCAATAATCACTTAATGATACATATTAGTATATACAAGTCTATGGACTATTCCCTAACAGTAGGTTTTTCTAAAAAGCAAAAGGCAAGTGTAATGAAATAGAGTTTTTTTTTTTTCATAGTTTGAAACAGTGTTTTGAGTTTCAGGGCAGGCCTTTTTTTTTTTTTTTTAAAGATTTATTTATTTATGCATATAAGAACTGGGGTACAGGCCAGAGATACAGGGGGGTGAGAGGATTCACCAGAGACAGAGTAGGGAACAGAAGAGGCAGATAGACTTAAGTACACTGCTGAGGGGAGCAGCGGGCAAGTCAGGAGAGGTCTGCTTCAGGGCAGGCCTTTCTATCTGCAGTTTACAATGGAAATAAGCAAGATAGAATAAATGGGATTCAGACATTTTGACACTGAGGCTGCATTTCCTTCTCTTGTCTCCTGCTCTTCTGCACCCAAGATGTGCTGTGAGCATTAGTAAAGCTATTGGTAATTGTCACGCTAGGGTTTCAACTTGCCACTATTAATATCCAGTTATCAGAGTCAATATAAACACATCTTTATCAATGGAGATTATACTCATGGACCTGGCCTCTTTTTTCTTTTCCATTTCAGACCAAAATGAGCTCCAAATAGTCAAAAGATCATGTCCAGATTCTTATTTCAATGTGTACATCATCATAACTCTTCCATTGTTTATTTAATTAATGTAATTTACCTGAGGTTATAGACTGCACTATGCAGGGTCTTACGAACATTTACTTTTGCTCATCAGGTGGTTCAACCACACAGGAGAAATCACCTGTAGCACCTTCCTGGGCTGGACATTCAGCATTGAGCATCCAGCCTGAAAAGCGGTCAACTGAAAATTGGAGCTCTTGCTTTGGTTATATATATATATAGATATATATATATATATCTATATATATAGATATAGATATAGATATATAGATATATATAGATATATATATATCCTCAGTGTTTTTGAAACATCTTTATTTAATATAAAACAAATATATGATGGCATGATGTTTTTATTTTATTTATTTATTTATCCAAATAGCTATTTTATCCACTTATGTTCCCCTTTGGAGAGTATGAGAGTACAATTTCTTTACATCTTCACCAACTCTTCGCATCGTTACACATTTTTATTTTTGCCAATCAGTGTGAAGTGGTAGCTTTTTGCTATTTTGACTCCCTCCACCATCCCATGTGTCCCCTTGTCCCTTTCCCTCCCCACCCCCTCTTAACCCCAGAGCCCTCAAGATGTTTATTGATGTCCACTGTTTTTTTTTTTAAGTATTTTAAGTTATTGAATTGTTTGCTACGTAAATGTCAGTATTTGTTTTTATCCTTCTGACTTAGCTTGCTGCACATACTTCTCTCAAATTCAAACGGGATTTATATAAGGAGCTTCAAAGAAACAGTAAGAGGGAGGATCCATAATAAGAAGACTAGGGGACCCGAGGCCCCTCTTAACTAGCTTCTCCTGTACTGCACTCAATGGGTGCCTTTCTTTCTTGATACTTTCCTTCCTCACCAACTCTGTTCCACCTTCCTCCAATCCAAAGGGTCCACCTGATGTACTGAAGTACTCCAGGGGAGTAAGAGCCAAGTAAGAGCTTGGTGGCATCTTCTGAAATCTGTCCAGTTTTTGTAAAAACCTTAATTAATGACAGTGAGTGAGTGATCATAGCTTGCCTCGACTCCTCCCATGCCTATCTCTGAAGGGGACACTGTCCACACTGCCCCCAGGTGGACCCACGGCATATAGATGGACTGCCTATGTTTGGAGGGCAGGGAACCTAGTACAGGAAAAGGATGCAAGCAACCCACTCACCATCTGGCAGGTCAAACGAGCCACTTTAATAGTTTTAACGAGGGCTGTGATTCCGACCACTGCGAGCATGGCTAATGCTCTCCCTCCCACCATGACCAGCCACAGTGCAAGTGCAACTGTGTGTCCTGGGATGTTCTCCCATTTGAGGAAGGCAATGTTATTTTCCTCTTTGACAAGAGAAGGCCCCTTGGCAACCAGTCTGCTATCCCAACTAACCAGATTTCTCTGTAAATCACTCTTGTTTCAGAGGCCTTATAAGACTTCTGCAAGCAGAAGACCCTCTGAGGAGGATTTGTGATGAGTCAGGTGCGCTTTTGTACTTGGTTGAGGCTGTAGTTGTCGTTAGAGTGTAGTCCATCCGAAAGTTATTCACATCTCAATATTTAGGAGAGGGAGAGTTGGGGGAGAGATGGGGTAAGGAAGGAGATAGGGGTGCCATTTTAGCCAAGACTTAACACAATTGGCACATCATCCCTCCGAGTGGACGGAAGGTTGTGAAATTTTGGCTTCTGGTGATCCTCTCCCTCCTGCACACAGTTTTATTTTTGGCCTGTGCTGTGCTTTTCCCCTTTGAACCCTTTTCCTTCTCTTGAGGTTAAGCCTGGGCCCCTGGTTGCGCTCTCTAAGGGTTTAAGACTATAGTCCTCCACTACTTGTGGTTTCACTTCCGTGGTTTCAGTTACTATGGTCAACCATGGTCTGAAAATACTATGTACAGTAAGACATTTTGAGAGAGAGAGAGAGAAACCACATTCCCACAAATTTTATTTATTATATCCTTATCATTATTGTAGTTTATTATTATTTATTATTAATCTCATGTGCCTAATTTATAAATTAAATTTTATCATAGGTGTGTATGTTTAAGAAAAAGCAGTACAAAACTAATTCAACTAATCAATCAGTTCAGTAAAGTGACAGGATACAAAATCAACACGCAAAAGTCAGTAGCCTTCCTATACACAAACAATAAATCTGAAGAAGAAGAAATCAAAAAAACCATCCCTTTTATTATTGAAACAAAAAAAATCAAATATTTGGGAATAAACCTAACAAAAGAGGTAAAGGACCTATACAAAGAAAACTATAAAACACTGTTAAAAGAAATAGAAGAAGACACAAAGAAATGGAAAGACATCCCCTGCTCATGGATTGGAAGAATAAACATTATTAAAATGGCCATCCTACCAAAAGCAATATACAGATTCAATGCTATTCCAATCAAAATTTCAATGTCATTCTTCAAAGAAATAGAACAATTATTGATGAAATTCATATGGGATCACAAAAAACCCCGAATAGCCAAAGCTCTCCTGAAAAAAAAAGAAGGGAATGGAGGCATCACATTCCCAGACTTCAAACTATACTACAAAGCCATAATCATCAAAAACTGCATGGTATTGGAACAAGAACAGACATACAGACCAATGGAATTGAATAGAAAATCCAGAAATAAACCCACAGATTTATGGTCAACTAATCTTTGACAAAGGAGCAAAGACTATGCATTGGAGCAAAGAAAGTTTGTTCAATAAATGGTGCTGGGAAAACTGGGTCGCTACATGCAAAAGAATGAAGCTTGACCACTACCTCACACCATACACAAAAATCAACTCAAAATGGATTAAAGAACTAGACATAAGACCTGAAACCATAAAATACATAGAAGGAAATATAGGCGAAACACTACGTGATTTGTACATCAAAGACATCTTTACAGACACATCACCCAAAGCAGTGATAGTGAAGGCAAAGATAAACAGCTGGGACTACATCAAATTAAAGAGCTTCTGCACAGCAAAAGAGACAATAACAAAAACAAAGAGAAACCCCATCAACTGGGAGAACATTTTGCACACAACACTAATGATAAAGGACTGATCACAAAAATCTGCGCAGAGCTGATGAGACTTAACAACAACAAAGAAAATAATCCAGTCAAAAAATGGGCAGAAGAGCTAAAAAGAAACTTCTCTGAAGAGGAAATGCAAATGGCCAACAGGCATATGAAAAAATGTTCAACATCACTTGTAATCAGGGAAATGCAAATCAAAACTACCATGAGATACCATCTTCCACCAGTGAGAATGGCACATATTAAAAAAACTAGCAACAACAAATGTTGGCGAGGGTGTGGAGAAAAAGGAACTCTCCTGCACTGTTGGTGGGAGTGCAAACTGGTCCAACCACGATGGAGAGCTGTGTGGAGATTTCTGGAACCTACTAAACATAGAGCTTCCATATGATCCAGCAATTCCACTCCTAGGTATTTACCCAAAGGACACAGAAACATCAATTCCAAAGAACACCTGCACCCCTATGTTTATAGCAGCACTGTTTACAATAGCTAAGCTTTGGAAACAACCCAAATGCCCAAAAATAGATGACTGGATCAAGAAGATGTGGTACATATACACCATGGAATATTACTCAGCATTCAAAAAAGATAAGCACATGCAATTTGCAGCAACATGGATGGCGCTGGAAGGGATCATGCTCAGCGAAATAAGCCAAAAAGAAAAGAAAAATACCAGATGGTCTCACTCATAGCAGGAATCTAGAAAACTTAAATAAGGGACCAGGAAAATGAATAACTATAAGAAAGTGAAAATCAGAATCAACAAAAAACTATGAAACAGAGACACTTTTGGGGGGGGTGGGGGGCGGGAGGGGAGGGATTGGGATCAGAAAGGGGGGGTTGCAATTGTATGAGGAATATAAAAATAAAATTTATTATTTAAAAAAAAAAGAACCAAATTAAAAAAAAATAAATAAAATAAATGTCTAAAGAAATAGAAAAAAAAAAAGAAAAAGCAGTACATACGGGGTCAGCACAATCTGTGGTTTGGAACATCCACTGGAACATATTCCACTTGGAACTGTCTCCCACAGACAAGGGGGGCTACTGACCAGCTCAAATTGTTTTCTGAAAACTCACAAGGACCAGACACTTGACCTGTTTATTCATGTTTTAAAAAGATTTATTTATGTATGCCTACAAGAACTGGGGTACAGGCCAAAGGTGTGTGTGGGGGGGTGGTGAGAGGATTCACCAGAGACAGAGTGGGGAACAGAACAGGCACATTGACTGAAATACAGTGCAGAGAGGAGCAGTGGGTGAGACAGGAGAGGTCTGTTGCACCATGTGGGTAGCTCCCTGGCCTGGGATTGTACTTGCGCTGCAGAGGCTATGGATAGCTTCACAGCGCTGTGTTTAACCCCTTGAGCCACCAGGGAGGCCCCTTGCCTGTTTAGTTCTTATTGGACATCTACTGTGACCCAGGAACCAGGCTGATTACTGGGGTGCTAACAGCTAGTTGGGGAGGAAGATGCTGAATGTACACTTGTGCAGATACTTATATCACTACAGTACTGATCAGCCCTCCAAAGGAGACAGCTCTAATAGAGAAGTCTGTTTGTCTCCAGGGATAGGTAAGGATGCCCAGGGGAGAGAGTATGGGGATCTGAAAGTGGTGTACTGATGCCTTCAGAGGTGGGCTGCTTCTCAGTCAGGAAACAGACATTGTGCCCAGGGAGATGCCCAAGTGGGGACCCTGTAGAGCAAAGTCAGCATGCATTGGGTGCTCTAGGGACTCTCCATAGACCAAGTCTCATAGCACACCAGCCCCAGGAAGCCCATCCTACAGAGCAGGCTGAGTTCCACAGCTCCAAGGGCTCCTGCATGGACCTGAAACTAGGAACCCTATTTAAATAGCATGCATCCTTGCCACTTCTGTGCCGATCACTGGGGAGCAACTTGGGCTGCGGGGCTCCGCCAGCATTCCCTCACAGTCTTTGGACTGGGGCCAGCTCTCCTGATTGGGACACTGCTTCATGCTGGTGATTTACTTCCTCAGTGTGGGCAAAGATATCCTTTCAGTGCCAAGCAGTACAGAGAAGAAAGACCCACTGAGATTCTGGTCTGGTTCCTTGCTTCTGTCACTATCACACTTTCCAAACAGAAAGGAAGATTTCTGGTCTATCGGGATCCTCTGCGAGGGGCCCTGTGGTGGAATCTTCTGAATG